TTTTTTTTTTTTTTTTTTTGAAAAAGAAAAGGATCGTGAGAGTAGTTAAGGCCCTTTTCATATCAAGGTGCCAGCAGAGCCAGGACTAAAATCTGGTGCTTAATCCCAGTCTATTACATGTTTTACTGTGTTGATGGGTATAATTCATCTGGGGATCCGTAGCTGCCATTCTCTCTCCTGCCTAGGACATGTGAACATTTCTACAGGAAACCAGAGATTCTGGGGGAAGTTATAAGTGAGTGTTTCCTTTGTGAAAGATGAAAATGTCGGCTTTTTAATCCATAATACTTTCTGACCCCCTTAACTTTTGTAGCTCTTTGAGGACAGAGGTCTCAGAGTACATGTTAAACACCCAGTAGGTTTTGGTCAAATTGACTTGGGAACTGTGTTGCTTCATCTTTTGCTGTCTGTATCAAAGGGAAGTGTTCCCACCCTCCTAAAGCTCTCAAGATTTCTCTTGTAGTGTCTGTGGATTTACTCTGATCTTTTTATACATTTGTACCAGTCTTTCTTATGGCCATTAACACATATATTCAAGATTTCTATCCAGCATTCCTATAAGTCTAAGAATAGAGCAAGCTATCTGGTCTAAGGGAAATCATTTTAATATCCTTTTAACTTTGAAGTTAATTATATCTCAATAATGCAGAACAGTATAATCCAGTCATATTATTTGAACAGATGAAATACTTATTGATAAAACCTTTTTGTATGTTATACAGACACTGGGATCCAATAAGCCATATCAGTTTTGCCTGACATAGCATTATCATATTTAATTAGACATAGCATTGACTAAAAACTGTAATTTATCATGTTTTATGTTGTGTGACACCACTCCAAGAAATTGCTGTTCAGGTATCACTTACCTCCCAATCCTAGGAGAGGGGCTGGTTATTAATTTTAGGGGTTTCTGTCACTTGCGTGGTACCACTAAATGGATAGTGAGCCTGGTCTACAATGGCAGTTACTTCTGGTTCTCTCCTCCAAACTTTCTCTGGCTGTTGAATAGGTTTTCATCTGTTTTTCTTCCTGATCTACACTGACCATGAAGAAACTTAACAAAGCAGTTGCTAGAAGAGGGGGTTAGGTGCAGAGCAGGTGACTCTCCCCAGAGCTGTGTTTCTGCTGCATTCTGAGTAGTCCTTCTTGGCAGCCTGTCTGTGCTGAGGACCCAGTGTTCTGGAACTGTTTCAGGACACCACCAAGTTAGGATGTGCTGTGTGACAGAAAGAAGTGACAAGAATCTACTCCTGGACTCTGCTTTTGGCCTTCTATTCTTTGCCAGCACCCTGTGTTTCTTGGATCTTGGTGCTGGTACAGAAGTTGCTGCCACCAACCCCATCTTTCAATCTACCTTCTTATACCCAGGCTTTTCTAAATAAATGTGGAAAAAAGTCTTTTCCTCATAATTTGAGTCACAACACAAGAAAAGTTTGTAGTGGTAACTTTTACCTAGAGAATTAATAAAAAACAAAAGCATGAGATCTGGAGAGTCCAGACTTCTGATCCTGATCCATATGAGTGTGGCTTATACATCTTACGGGACATTTTAGTCCCTTATTTCAAATCCCTTAGGATGTCTTGTCTAAAGTGTTCCTTTTTTTTGATCTAGGGCAGGGGTTGGCATACTATGGCCAGTGGGCCACATCTGGCTTGCTGCCCATTTTTGTAAAGTTGTATTGGACACAGCCACCTCATTTGTTTACATATTGTCTGTGGCTACCTTTGTGTGCCACAGGAGTGAAGTTGAGTAGTTGCAGCAGGGACCGTATGGTTTGACAGAGATGAAAATACTGACTTTCTGATTTGTTCTGAGGAAAGCTTGCTGACCCTCATCTAGGGCATTTCTTCTTAGTGTCTCCTTTCATTCAACTCCTTGGGAGATGGGAAACGAACTCTGATAACATCCCCTAGTCACAAATAGGTTGTTAATTTTAGTTGTTTTCTTTGAGAGACTGATGGATGCATTGCATAGATGAATCAAATGATTATCCATTGTCCGTGATAGCATTGGCCTAGCTGCTCTGTAGTAAGTATGGCTCTGGTAGTATTCTTACTGCTTGCAATAGTAAGGTGTGTATAGGGGTGCTGCTTTATTTCTTCCTACGCTAGTCTCTTGGTAACTGGCTTGGTTCTACTGCAACAATAACCATAGACTCTGTTACATTTGTGGGACTTTTGGATCTTGGGGCTCATTTGGGGCTATCATCAGCTCTGAAATGGCTCTTAACAAATTTGTGGATCTAATTTGACTTCCAAAGTTACTTTCTTTTGGCTTCTGCCTTCAGTTACACTCTTGGTGGCATACTCTAGTTTAGCTATACCTACCTTCTTGAAGGTTACATTGGTCTTCTGCTTTTATCTGTTAGCCTCTGCTGAGAGTTGAGTCAATATTTTCCTCTTCTCAACTGTATCACTTCCTCCTCTTCAAATCACAACTCTAAGTTATCTATCCATATTTTCTCCGGGTCAGAAAGAAAAGCTTTGAGCCTCTTTAATATATTTAATATTACATTTGAATTTATGTTCATGTGACTGGATTGCTTGCCTATGAAACTGTAAGTTCCTGTGAAAACATTTATTCTTTAGTCTTCTAATGCAGGCTTAGGGAATACTTTGTGAGAATCTGTTGTCTAACTGAAATCTCTTCTCCACTGAAGGTCTCCCAACATTTGATTCGTCCTCTGATGGGCATGAGTCTGGCATTGCAATGCCACGTGAAGGAGCTAGCAACCTTGCTTCGGATGAAAGATCTAGAGATTCAGGACTACCAGGAGAGTGGGGCTACGCTGAGCAGAGGTGAGAGGACATTCTTGGGGGAATTGAGTGGGTAGTGGAACAGATAGAAAAATTGGAGGCTCATTTGTATTTGAAAAGTGTTTCCTTCTCCAGGGTGGGTGCTGACCAATAGCTGGAGAATAGATACTGGATGCCACTTCTCTCTACCTAGATAGAGTACCTGCTTGGGGCCCAAGTTTCCAGTAGAAGCTATAACCGAGTCCAGACATGTCCTAGGCAGTGACAAGGAAAGACTTTGGAAAGGGGTCAACAGCTATACTCAGCTGTACTTGGGGCAACATGAATTTGGGAGTTTAGGAGGCTGCATATCTCCAACTTGAATCTAAAAATTCCTTTCGACCTTTATCTTTGTGGCAGGAAAATCTCTTCCAACAGATCCTGTCCCTGAACCTGCCATTTGTTGCCAATCAACTGCCCTCTCCTCCTCCTGTTTGCCTACATTCCCTCAGCTTTTCTTCTCCTACCAGGCTAGCGCTGTCTACATGTTGCCTCTTTCTCCTCTTCACCAAGAAATTCTGGGCTCTGCCCCTTTTCATCTCACAGGTAGGAAACTCATCTTTAGATTCATATCTCTTCTCTGTCCCTTCTTATTATAGATCGATTGAAGACTGAGCCATTTGAAGAAAATTCTTTCTTGGACAAATTTATGGCAGAGGTAATGTATTTATTATTTTCTTTAACTTTTACCAGTTTGATACTCAGAGTGCCTGGGTGATGGCTCGCATTTTGGGTGTTAGATATCTTGGATGGTTGGAAAGTCCTTCGAACAAGCTGCCTATAAAAAGTCTGATAAAGCTTGCGAAGTACATAACGAAAGCAGGGAAAGGAAGGGGGAAGAGTCCCTTCAGCATCCCCTGTAGGGGAAGGTAAAAAACTCAGGGCTACCATTTGGGGACTGTTTTGTGGGCACAGCAGGCTGTGGAAAATCACAGTGTTTATGCAAGGGGACTGGCAGAGGAATGAATGGGGAGTAGATAATTGCGACCTGTCAGAAGCTTTTCTGCCTAGGTTTCCCTTCTAAGGATTTAGCTTGGCCAACAGAAATATCTGTTGAAGCCAAAGAGTGGGAGTATTAATAATAGTGACCTTTGATAATACCAGTCAATATTGATCTTTGCTTTCTCTAACTCTTCTGGGACTTGTTGGTTATGTAGTTTTTAACCTTAGTATTATTGCCCCATTTTTTAATTATACCTGTTACCCAAGTTGGTACTTTATTATGTAAGTAAATGGTGCTATTATAATAATGTGTTATGTGTAGATTATTTGTATTTCTTTTGTTTGGTTTTTGGTTTTTTTTATTTTCTTGAGACAAGCTCTTGCTATGTAATTCAGGCTGACCTTGAACTCACTATGTAGCCCAGGCTGGCCTCAAACTCATAGCAGTCCTACTGCTTCAGCCTCCCGAGTGCTGGGATTGTGGGCATGCACCACCACCACAGATTTATTCTTTTTTTTTTTTTCTTTACCACAGATTATTCTTATTTCTGTCTTGGCCTCTATGTTTATTTTAAGCTGCTCATGGACAAGATCTGTGTTTCATACCTTTTTTGTACCCTTGATCAGCACTGTTCACAGGGTTAAGCATAAAGCAGGCATTTGTGATTTGGAAAACTTCTGCCTCTGAATTGCTATAATAGTTGGGGTCTTACTGCTAAGAGCAAAATCTGTGAGGTGAGTGTTCTGTCCTGTACTGAAGCAGGTGTAACTCTGGAGAAGGAAACAATGTATTGGTGAAGTCCTGAAGCAGAATAGGTGCCAAGTCCATGAGGAAAGGGAAGGTATTAAACCAGAAATTGTGACAGAAATTTCCTAGGATACTTTTCTCTCACATGGCTTCTCCTGTCTCTGAGTTTGAGCATTAAGGGAGGGTAACACAGCAACATGGGGCTGACACACTAGTGTCTTGCCACCGTGCCTTTGTTAAAGCAGTGCTAGGCTAATCCTTACTTAGCTCTGCTGATCTAGCACCTCCTACCTATCTGGCTTCACTTCTGGACATTTTGCTATGTGTGCTTTTTGCTTCAGCTACAAGAAATGGCTTCTAGTTTCCCCAAAGCTGTTTTCTCTTGCCTTTGTGTCTTTGTATACATTCTTCCCTTTATCTAAAGTGCCCAAGGCCCTAGCCTTAGTTACTTTGTAACCTTTTTTTTTTTTTTTAGAAGTACTGGGGATCAAACTCAGGAAGTGCTGAGCTACCTCTCTAGCCCTTTTTGTTTTCATTTATTTTGAGACAGGGTCTCACTAAGTTGCCTAGGCTGGACTCAAACTTGTGATTCTCCTGCCTCAGCCTCCCAAGAAGCTAAGATTACAGGCATGCACCTCTGCACTGCCTTCTATTTGTCTTGTAATATCATCTTTAGCTTCTTTGGGAGAGCTCTCTGGACTTTGCTTGTAAAGATAATCCTCCTCCCCCGCTATTATACTTTGGTTTATACCTCTGTTTTATCACTTGAGACACTGGTATACTGTTTGTATGTCTGCAAGACCCTAGCTTTCTTCTACACTGATCTATGGACTCTTTAAGAACAAGGAGTGTGTCAAATGCATTGCTGTATCCCCAGCATGGACCTTAGTTCTTAGAAATAGTAAGTTCTCAATAAGTTTATGCATGAATATTTTGATAAATCTGTGCCAGAGGGATTTTGTGAAAATTGTGGTAATGTGGCTTCTTGATAAACTGTTGCTTGTTAGATCTATATTCGAGGACTTCTTTTATTCTCATGGTTTATTTTGTAGCTTTGGACAAATCACTTTTCTCAGAGCCACTATTTTCTCATTTGTAAAATTGGAGGCTCCTCCTCTTCATGCTGTTGAGAGGGGAGAGCCTGGTAGAATAGAATGAGAAGGCCCATAGAATCCAGGTGCTAGCCCAGGGTGTGTGTTGGTGTTTTGGAATTACTTCAAGACCTCTAGTCTCCTTTGGCCTGAATATAGAATTTTATAATATATGGAAGGAATCTGAGAGGTAGTGTAGCTTTCTATTTTATAGATGAAGACATTGAGCTTGAGGGGTCAACTGACTTGCCTTAGGTCTGGATCTTCAGGACCTCTCACATTTTTTTTTTTTTTTTTTTTTGAGACAGGGTCTTGCTGAGTAGTTCAGGCTGCCCTGGAACTCACTATGTAGCCCAGGGTGGCCTTGAACTTGTGGCAGTTCTGCCTCAGCCTCCTGAGTTCTGGGACTACAGGTGTGTGCCACTATGCCCAACCCTTACACATTTCTTAACTTACAGTCTAGAAATTAATAGTTTTTTTTTAACTGCTTCAGCTGATTATACACACCAGCTGGGAAGACATAAGGATTGGGGTAATGTGAGTTCTTGTGGCTTCTAGGGTCACTGCATGGTCCCTGGAAATAACCTGCATAGCTGCTAGAAGTAAAAGGTCTCCTCCTGGGGCTGTAGAGTTTCTTACTGCTATTGCAGCTTTGCAGTTACTGTGCTTGCCTGGGGTCCTACAAACAGGACAAGAAGGGTCAAGCGGTCACCCAAGACTGAACTGAGGGGATGTGCCATTAAAATAAACAACGTGGGATAGGAAGATAAACAAACCAAGGAGAGAGCTTGGAACGAAGACGCAGAGAGGCCAGGCCCATGTCAGAGGGGCATGTAGTCAGTGCTTGGGGTCACTTCTTCCTAGTGTTATTGGGAATACTGCTAGGCAAGAGGCCATGCACATAGGTCACAAGGGACAGTAGGAGAGAGGGGTTTCTAGGATACTGAAGCTAAGGATATTTATGGGTTGAACAGGGGTTCTTCCCCATGTTTGATCCTTTTTTTCTTCTCTTCATAAGAGCCTCTGATTTTTTATTTCCAAGAAAACCAAAAGGGCATTTTTGATAATGCCTGACTAGAGGAAGAATACTGGCGATGTTGATTCAACTTAAGGCTGGGCAGGGTGGCTGTTTGCATGATCCTCACGTAGGGCAAGGTCCCCCTCCAGAGCATTCCCCAGGACTAGGGCTGGTGAGGCCCCTTTAGAAGTAGGAAAAAAAGTCCAGGAGTTGGGGACTTCTATGACATAGCGGTAGGCACTATGCTAAGGAGGAAGTTTAGGATGATGGGCTGGCATAGCCCACTCTGTCAAGTCCACTGGAGGGAGTTCAATCCCTTGGCCCTGCCCAGTCCTCTCTCCATCTGGTTGCTATCAGGCTATGCGGCTGCTGGCAGACTCTTTATTTATTTATCCCAGTGTAATGGGGTGAGGAGGGAGCTGGCCTAAGGCTGGCATTCCGAGGCCATGCCACTGAGCCACAGGCGGTTTGCATGGGTGTGTGAGTCACTGGGGCTGCATGCTGCTCAAACCAGACACGGCTAGGCTCCGGGACAGCAGGCAGCCCAAAATAGAGCCCCGCCCTCTGCAGCTGGCAACCTCTGGCTAGGAATCAGCCCTCGACACCAAAACCTGGGCAGTTGCATGAAGTTGGCTTCCTTTGGGTGGGGGCCCTTAGCAGAGATAGAGATTTTGCAATTCTTTCCTTCTGTCTTCGTAAGAGGAAGGTATTCACCTAACGATCACTCCGTTGCTGTATTCTGAATGCCTTGTAAGATTTATGTAATCTATTCAGTATAATACATTAACCAAGAAATTTGGGGCTATGACTTGAATCAGCATCCTAAATGTAACTATTTAGACAGGAGTCTACAGTGTAGACGGGAGTCATTTTCCCCTGTCTAGTTTTAGTTACTATCTTCATCCCTGTCTGATTGCAGCCTGATTCTAAAGCAGATACATCATGTGATGAAGATATTTATTGCTGCTCCTATGAAACTAGAGATCATATCACACTCACTTGAGAGAGATGGGTAGACCTTTAACCTGAAAATTGCTATCCTGTTAAGTTCATTCACAGAAGATCATACCCAGTTTCTGTGGCTGACTATCCTTTCCCTGCCTCATAAATATTAATGTTACCCAGGACTGTGTTATTGATTCTCTTGACCTTCACTCTTCTTCCCTCTGGTTGTCTCACCCAGAACCCAGTGTCAAGACCATCAGTATACCATTGAGTACCAATTGTCTATCTCCTCTGTGTTTGAAGCCCATATTTATTTTCTGGATCCTTGACATTTCTACCTGGATGTCTTACATATATCACATCCTAAATATGTTCAAGATGAATTAGCTACTCCTCTAAGCCTTTCTCTTCTTCTATTCTTTATTTTGGAAAACTGTGCATTAACCACTTGGTTTCCTGAACTAGAACTTTTGGAGTTTTCCACTTTCTTCTTGTCCTTACTTCAAAATTTAATAACTGTCTTTAGAATCTGCTCTTCTTCTGTTCCAACTTGCATTGTTTTAAGTCAGTCAGTACCATCTTTGGCTTTACCATGCAATAGCCTCCTGACCCTGCTCCCCATTAGTCCTTTCTCTCAGTTGAACTTGGTAGAGTGATCTCTTTGAAACAAAAATTTGACTATGCCACTCTCTTGTTTAAAGTCCTTTAGCGGTTCCTAGTGGCCTACAGTCCTTCTATGCCATTAAAAACCATTCATGATTTGGTTCTGCTGACTCCCTTTGACCTGCTGACCCACCATAGCCCCCTGCACCCTCCATATGCTGACATTGTATGATCCGTTTGCCTCGTATTATTTTCTCTCTTGCCCTCTGGCAAACACCCCATTCAGGGTTCACAACTAAAGGCACCATCCC